AGTGGGGTCCACTTTAGAATCTTTTTTTCCATTTCTTAATTTGAAAAGTATTATTAACTCGCAATACTCAATGTTATATCTAACATTTTACTAAAACTATTTACAATTTCTGTAAATATATCACAGATTTCTATAATTCGTTCATATATTTAGTAAGTATTCAAATATCACGTAACAATCCGTTCTCTCTAGTGGTTTTAATTACCAAAATAGTTGTTTAAATAGTGATTTTAACTAGGTTTAGGCACGAAACGAATATCATAAAAATTGTTTATGCATATAAATTCCATGAAAAATATCCATGACCGCTTCCATAGACGCCTCATGGTCAAACATACAATACACAAATGATATTTGATTATTTTGCATCAAATTCAATCATGTCTTATTAGATATAATTTAAATCTAAAATAAAACTACATTATTTTGTATAATTTTGATGGAATGTCTTTTTTAAATTGTGGTACTTTTAATTGGAGCTAACTAAGGAAAAGAGATCACTACTCTAAGCTAAAAATACTACTAATAGTTGGGTTACCTACATTTCATTATTTGTACTTCTCCTGCACCTCTGAGCATTTTCATGATGGCAAATGATGTTGAAAACTGCCAATAGTACTTGGGTGAGATAATCCTCAAGTCCTTTGCGGAAGTGGTTCAAAATCTCAGACCAATCTGGAAGGGATTTGTGGTAGATAAACGTAACATATATAACCAGTGATGAATTCAACATCCAGAATTGTGGATATTCGATTTAAACAAAAAATAATAATTCTACCATATTTTTTTATAAGAAAATTGCTATTATTATAATATGTAAACTAGCTAATGAATAAATATATGACTTTATCTATTTTTATTCGATATAATTCAAAAAGAAAAGAAAATGGAAGATTAAAATGGTGCAAAATGAAACATATATTTTTATTTAAGAAAAAAGTAAAACACATTATCAATTTAAAAGCTAGTATTTATCTATATTTATTATAAGTATTTTTGCCAAATGTATTTAAAAAGACTAAAAATTG